TGTGCTGACAGTTATCAAGGCGTACATACTCGCATCCATTTTCGAGACTTTAGGGGCTGTCCTAGTGGGTGAGGATTACTTCTGCTACTAACCTGATAACTACGCTTTTTCTATAGCTTTTATTACGTCCCGCACTAACAATATTTCACTTAGGTTCTTGACAGATACTTCCTTGTCTGGGTTTAAGTTTCTAAGCTGAGCCTATGGCTTGATTTAGTACCTCAAATTAATAGACTATGAAGTATAAGAGAAATACAATGAATGTAAAATTTTTAAGGATGGTCAGTTACGGATACAATGAGAAAAGGAGTTGTGGACACGGCTCAGTATCTTGACAATCCGAAGGAACTCATGTTGGGTCAAGTTGCCATTTTAGGAGGTGAGTAAGAATATCGGAATCAGGAAAGAAGTTAGCCAAAATCTGCAGCAGGTTTGCTGCAACTGAATCAGTAAGGACATAACAGGGGTAATAAATCTTTTTTGGAAAAAGGAGACATGGTGCAACATTTTTGAAAAATATCACACTGTTATATCGGTGATGAATTGTTTGCGTGAGAATCCTGTAACGGTTTTTTTCTCGATTCTCCAAATTGAATATTGTAGTCAAAGAAGATAAAACATCACGTTCTGAAAGTTATGACCAAATGTAAGTGCGATGATTAAATGATGATAAGTTTAGAATGTGTTGTTTTCTGAACATGTGCTTTAAAGCTAAACCATTACCAGTTTCGTAGTAATGGAGTTCTTGGTGGTCATGATATACTTTCGACGATTGGGAACAAAATATAATACCTAGGAGGAAAAAGGAGCCTTCTTACGCAAAAGGATAAGATTCTTTCTATCTCAATCTTATTATGAATGCGTCCACTCAGTGAAATGATTTGAGTGTCATAGAAGCGGACGATGTTCCAATTATTACGCGGAATCAGACTACTTTCAGTTAATGTTTTTGTCACAATTCTGCTAATCATTTTCGATTTCGAAGAGCTAGATGGTTCGGTTAGTCCATTCGCAAGATTGAATTTTGACATTTTAGGCGCGAGCAGAAAATCCCATCTAGAGGGAAGGGGTCATCGTTGATACTATTAAGGTTGATGACATGGTAGATTTTTAAGAAAAAAAGAAAAATAATCCTTTTGTTGTAAAGCAAACTAAAGACAATTTTTTTGAGTTAAGTTGAAAACTTAAATAACTTCATTAATAAACTGGTAAGACGTAAGAAAACTGAACAGAGTCAGGTCTTGTTAATTTATCTCGATAGAAAAAATTCCATTCAGGCTGTGCATCATGGCTGCTTATGGCAACACTGCTCAGAATGCCAGTCTCAACAACTCATGCGATTGTTGGTGCAACTCTTGGATTCTCAATTGTTTTACGAGGATTCCAGGGAATTCGATGGATGAAAATAGTAGACATTAGTCAGTGAATTCCATATTTTCGGCTGGTTATCCTCTAATTCCGACCATTACAGTTATGTCATGGTTTTTGTCACCAGCGCTGTCTGGAACAATATCAGTCATTCTTTACATGATTGTCGATTTTGCAGTATTGAGAAGGGTAATAGCGCTTCTATCTTTTCCAGATTCTCGCGGGAGAGATAACGGCATATTTTAGAGCAACCCATTTGAGTCCGGTCTCAGA